AGGAAGGCATATAGGGAAGTTGGGCAAGTATGGGAGATGCCATAGGGGTCAAGCCTCACACTCAAAGCAGGAGCTGCACGTGTCCTGCAAAGGGTCATGGGTGTTGCTTTGCCATGCTGTGTCTACTGTGTGTTGGGAAATTGCTTATTAACTTCAAGATTAGGGGCTCTATATGGTGAACTGAGTGGCCAGCAGTTTTGGGGAGACAGGTGGGGATGAGCCCAGTGGCACCCTAGGTCCGAGACATGGCAGCTGACACCCCCTTTCCTTTTGTTCTCCCTCCAGGTGGTGTCATCAGCTACATCGGTTCCAGTGGCTCCTCCCCGAGCCGAACCAGCCCTGAATCCCTATATAGTGACAACTCCAATGGCAGCTTCCAGCCCCTGACTCAAGGCTGCCCCACCTACTTCCCACCGTCCCCCACTGGCTCCCTCACCCATGACCCAGCTCGCTCCTTTGGGTCGGTTCCACCCAGCCTGAGTGATGAGGGCTCCCCTTCTTCCTCATCTTCCTCGTCATCCTCCTCCTCCTCCTTCTATAATGGGAGCCCCCCAGGGAGTCTACAAGTGGCCATGGAGGACAGCAGCCGAGTGTCCCCCAGCAAGAGCACCAGCAACATCACCAGTGAGTACCTTTCCAGCTGACTCGTAAGGGAAGCAGGCCCAGGTAGATTGGGAATGGGTTTTCCCGTGACACAGGTCTCACCAGGGCCTACTGTGGCTTTAGGGATTTCTCCTAGAGTAGCACCAGCCCCTCTTCAGTCCAGTCTAGTCACTCTCTTGACACTGGAGTTCCTCCTTAGCTTTTCCCTCTTGGGATCTCCCACCCAGAAAGCCTCCATACCTCTGGCCGTTCAGCCTGGCCTCTCCTGCTCACCTGCTGCCTGTCTCTTCCACAGAGCTGAATGGCATGGTGCTACTGTGTAAAGTGTGTGGGGATGTTGCCTCGGGCTTCCACTACGGAGTGCATGCCTGTGAGGGCTGCAAGGTGAGGCGGGCTGGGGGTAAGGGCAGGGGCAGGTGGCCCCCTTCCCCAGAACACAGAGGTGCAGCCATGATGGAGGTGGTGACTAACCACCCCTGCCCTCCAGGGCTTTTTCCGTCGGAGCATCCAGCAGAACATCCAGTACAAGAGGTGTCTGAAGAATGAGAATTGCTCCATCGTCCGCATCAATCGCAACCGCTGCCAGCAGTGTCGCTTCAAGAAGTGTCTCTCCGTGGGCATGTCTCGAGATGGTAAGGCAGCATCCCCACATCCTCCCGCTTCCTTCCACCCAAAGTTTCTGAATTAGTCCCTCCCTTTTAAAAAGTCCCAAATGGAGACACATCATACTATGAATCACATTTGCACGGGGGATGTCCATCCTTCATCTGCTTGGGTCAACATAAACTTCTATCCCATTGGTCCCTTGGGTCACCTCCTACCAGCAATCCCTCCTTGGGAAACCCCCTTGTTGGGTGCGGCCTTGCTGGTTTTAGTTTTGCTGTGAAACCCCAAGCCTTCAGGGCCTTGCCCTTTCAGGAGGAAGGAAGGAAGAGAAACACGTGAGTGTGGTTGAGAACTTCCTGACACTGTTATCCTGTCTCAGCTGTGCGTTTTGGGCGCATCCCCAAACGAGAGAAGCAGCGGATGCTTGCTGAGATGCAGAGTGCCATGAACCTGGCCAACAACCAGTTGAGCAGCCAGTGCCCGCTGGAGACTTCACCCACCCAGCACCCCACCACAGGCCCCATGGGCCCCTCACCACCCCCTGCTCCGGTCCCCTCATCCCTGGTGGGCTTCTCTCAGTTCCCACAACAGCTGACGCCTCCCAGATCCCCCAGCCCTGAGCCCACAGTGGAGGATGTGATATCCCAGGTGGCCCGGGCCCATCGAGAGATCTTCACCTATGCCCACGACAAGCTGGGCAGCTCTCCTGGCAACTTCAATGCCAACCATGCATCAGGTAGCTCTCCAGCCACCACCCCACATCACTGGGAAAGTCAAGGCTGTCCACCTGCCCCCGATGACAATAACACCTTGGCCACCCAGCGTCATAATGAGGCCCTAAATGGTCTACGCCAGGCCCCCTCCTCCTACCCTCCCACCTGGCCTCCTGGCCCTGCACACCACAGCTGCCACCAGTCCAATAGCAATGGGCACCGTCTATGCCCCACCCACGTGTATGCAGCCCCAGAAGGCAAGGCACCTGCCAACAATCCTCGGCAGGGCAACTCCAAGAATGTTCTTCTGGTAAGAGCATGGGGGCGGGTGGGCGAATTAAGAAGGTCGGGAGGACCTGGCAGAACGGACTTAGCACAGGGCAGTTGCGTGTTCCTGGAGGCTGAGTGTGGGGACTTCCTCTTCCCAGGAGAGAATGTCTTGTCTTGCATGGGCTCTGCCTGGGAACCCCTGATCACTGCTTTATCTGAAAGACCCATCCTCCAGGGCCAAGCCCCTAGTCCAGGCAGAATCTGGGGTCCAGCTCAGCTTGGGGAGTCCAACTCACCCAGCCTGGCTGACACTCCCTTCCCTCAATCCCTTCCTCCCCCAGGCATGTCCCATGAACATGTACCCACATGGACGCAGTGGGCGAACGGTACAGGAGATCTGGGAGGATTTCTCCATGAGCTTCACGCCTGCTGTACGGGAGGTGGTAGAGTTTGCCAAGCACATCCCTGGCTTCCGTGACCTTTCTCAGCATGACCAAGTCACTCTGCTTAAGGCTGGCACCTTCGAGGTGAGTGACCGTTTATGCTTCCTGCTCTTGTTTGTTTTGAGATGGAGTTTGGCTCTTGTCACCCAGGCTGAGCGCAATAGTGCAATCTCCACCTCCTGGGTTCAAGTGATTCTCCTGCCTCAGCCTTCCGAGGAGCTGGGATTACAGGTGCCCGCCACTGTGCCTGGCTAATTTTTGTCTTTTTGGTAGAGACAGGGTTTCGCCATGTTGGCCAGGCTGGACTTGAGCTTCTGACCTCGTGATCCACCCACCCTGCCCTCCCAAAGTGCTGGGATTACAGGCATGAGCCACTGTGCCTGGCCACTTCCTGCTTTTGACCTTGGGAAGGATCCAGCAGAAAGCCTTGGTTTCTGGGGTGGGCTGGACCTCTGAAAGGTTTTGGAACCCAGTATCTTTGTCCTTATAGCCTCTGATTGGTGGAAGGGGCTGAGCTGCTGCTGCTGCTGCTGCTGCTGCTGCTGCCTCTGGATAGCTGGGACTTCTGTCATCTCAGCTGGAATTTAATCACAATCCATTACACTGAAGCACCCATTCTAGACAAGAGCAGGTTAATGTTGGTGAATGCCTTGCAATGTCACAGGTAGTGACAAAGTTGACACTCAGATTCAGGCTGATTAGATCCCAAAGCCATCCACTTGGGCTCCCTCATTGCCCATTCAGAAACAAGCCCCACTCTACTGAGAAATGGAAGGCAGCACCACTAATAAACCCTTTGGCAAACTACAGGGGCGATTTGGTCAGCGTTCCTCCCACTCTACCCAGGATGACTGTTCCTCCACCCCACCAGGTGCTGATGGTGCGCTTTGCATCATTGTTCAACGTGAAGGACCAGACAGTGATGTTCTTAAGCCGCACCACCTACAGCCTGCAGGAGCTCGGTGCCATGGGCATGGGAGACCTGCTCAATGCCATGTTCGACTTCAGCGAGAAGCTCAACTCCCTGGCGCTTACTGAGGAGGAGCTGGGCCTCTTCACCGCGGTGGTGCTTGTCTCTGCAGGTAGGTCAAGCTCTCACCTGACCCGGGGGAGGAGGCAGACGCAGTTCAATTCAACACACCTTTTATGGAGTACCTACTCTATGCCAGGCCCTGCACCGGGCACTGGGGATACAGACATGATTCAGACACAGTCTAGCTTGGGAAACAGACTCATGCCCGACTAATTATAAAACAGTGAGATAAGTGTCACAGTAGAAGCATGAACCAAGGAAGCACAGACAACTATTTCTGCCTGGGGGAGCTGGAGAAGGAGGTGACACTTGAGTGGGGCCTCAAAGGACAAGTAAGATGTTGCCAGGCAGAGAAAGGGGGAAGGGCATCCCAGGCAGAGGGAACTACAGAGCAAAAAGCAAGGGAGCCGGGCCATGTTCGGCCTGTTCGGGAAGGGAAGGTGCTCTTACGGGATGGGAGGTGACCAGCCCTCCTGAGCCCACACTCCCAGCATTTGGGCCCCTCCTGCTCTTGGGGCAGAGGCCTGGGAGAAGGTGTGGCGCTCCTCCTCCTTCCCCATCGGCCCTCTGGGGGGCTTCAGGGAGAGGCTGCATTGCCTGCCAGGTCCTCGCAGACCTCCGGTTCCTCCTCCGAGGAGCTCGGGGAGTCCGCCTCACTGCTGTCGTCTTCCCCACAGACCGCTCGGGCATGGAGAATTCCGCTTCGGTGGAGCAGCTCCAGGAGACGCTGCTGCGGGCTCTTCGGGCTCTGGTGCTGAAGAACCGGCCCTTGGAGACTTCCCGCTTCACCAAGCTGCTGCTCAAGCTGCCGGACCTGCGGACCCTGAACAACATGCATTCCGAGAAGCTGCTGTCCTTCCGGGTGGACGCCCAGTGACCCGCCCGGCCGGCCTTCTGCCGCTGCCCCCTTGTACAGAATCGAACTCTGCACTTCTCTCTCCTTTACGAGACGAAAAGGAAAAGCAAACCAGAATCTTATTTATATTGTTATAAAATATTCCAAGACGAGCCTCTGGCCCCCTGAGCCTTCTTGTAAATACCTGCCTCCCTCCCCCATCACTGAACTTCCCCTCCTCCCCTATTTAAACCACTCTCTCTCCCGCACAGCCCTCCCCTGGCCCCCTGATTTGTTCTGTTCCTGTCTCAAATCCAATAGTTCACAGCTGAGCTGGCTTCTGTGGTGTGTGCTCGTTTGGGGGGTGGGGTGGAAATACTGCCAAGGCTGGGGGGGGCCACCTCTCCATCTGGTCAGTTTGTGGGGTGGGTACTCTGCCAGCAGATGGGAGGATATAGGGAAACAGCACACAAGTCTAAGGGGGGTGCCCAAGGGGGTTATTTTCATCATATATTTATTACATAAATATATAGTAAAATAGACGAGCAACAATTACCATAAAAATATCTTTCTTTAAAATCCTGACCCAAAACACAACGGGGTGAAAAATCGCACATAACAGACATACTGATTGTCAACGTGGGGCGGGAGGAGGAGCCCCTCAAGTCACACCTACCGGTCCCACCCCTCCCTGGGGAAGAGACCTACCTCCTTCCCTGTTTCTGGCCACAGCCCCCCTCCCTCCAGCCCAGCACCAGCTTCTCATACATTCAGTAGTGCCTCTGGGCAGTGTCCCCCTCCCCCTGCCCAGGAGTTTCCAGGGCAGGAGTTACTGTCCTCCTTATGGACGGTGTCTCTGTCACACGCCCTGCCCTCTCCCAGCCCTGCAGACCCGCCACCAGGAGAAGGGGTAGGGGATCCTCCCCCACCCTCCCCAAGTCTGAGCAGGGAGGAGGCTGGATGAGGTATGTGTGTTATGAGTGATGGGAGGGGCAATACTGAGATAGAGAGGCAGGTGGTGGGGGCAGGGTAGTGGTCATGGCTCTGGCACCCCCTTGTCCTGGCCTGGCCTGGCCCCCTCGTCCTATTCCCAGCAACCCGCCCTCCCACCGATACTATACCTGCTGCTCCACCCTGCCTGCCCTAGTGCCTGGGCCAGTACTGAGGGAGGCATGCTGAGCACCCACGTCAAGGCCATCCCCCTCATTAGCACCAATGGCCCCCAGGAGAGGGCCCTGTCCCCCACTTCCACAGCAGGGACTGGGACAGCTGCCTCTCTAGAGCAGGTGCATAGCACTCCTGAGTCGCCCTGGCTCCTCCCCTACCACATGTACTCACTCACACATTCACACAGAGGAACGCACGCATACACCCCACATCATCAAGGGGGAGGGGAGGGGTCTGGGGAGGAGGGAATCACAGCTCATATGATTGGGGAGGGTGGGGGAGTCCCAAGTGCCTGTAAGAGGCCAAGGCTCTTCAAGGCCTTTTCTCTGCCGTGTCCATGGCTGAGAATGGGGATGGAGGGGTTGGGGTGGGGATGGAGGGATGGGGAAGACAGCAGACAGGTCAGGAATTCCACTGGGCCCCCAGGCGTGGGAAGAAGGTACAAGAGGGCCTACCCATGGGACTGGAGTAATACAGGAATCAGCACTCCAGGAGAGAGAGGGGGAGAGAGAGAGAGAGAGAGAGAGAGAGAGAGAGAGAGGATAGAGACAAAGACAGCAGGGCAGTCTGGGCCCCAGCAGGGTGGGACAGGCACATGCACAGGTGACAGCGGGTGCTCCTCCAGGCCCTCCACCCCTTTTGGAACACCTGAATGATGGGGGAAGGACAGTGCCCTGGCAGACAGCATAGCAGTGCCTTCCCATGTGCGTGTGTGTGTATGTAGGTGTGTGTGTAGGGGGCTGTGGCAGGCTGAGAGTCAGGGTGGGGTGGCAGGTTCCCCACTGCTTAAGACATTTTTGCCCCAATAGTGCAAAGCGCAGGAAGCCCTGGCACCCCTCCCCCCACCCCCTGCCCCAATCCCCATGGCTTCCGGGGGCATCTATGTCCACCCATCCATCCCTGCCGACATGCAGCCCTGAGCCCAGCACCCTCTGGTCTGCTCTGTCCCACCCCCACCTCCTGCTCCCATGGGAGGACCACCTCCTCTCTCCCTCTCTCCCCTGAGGAGTGGGCAGCAGCCACAGGGACGGGGAGAAGGGGAGCTCACCCAAGTGCAGACCAACAGAGCACCCTCACCAGGAGGGTGGGAGGGGCTCAAGCCAAAGTCCCTGAATTAGAGAAAAGAAGAGGGGAACAGATCCCAGGGCAGAGGGGCAGCTGGCCAAAAGAGCTTGAAAGAAAAAGGAGCACCAACCACCTCCTCCCCTGTGGCCCTGACTAAATGTCACTTATCTAAACACCCCCATTTGGGTGTCTGCCCACCCAGAGTTAGTGCAGTGAGTGGGGGAGAAGGAGGGCAGAGGTTAGAGAGAGCCCAGAAGACAGGGGAAACAGGGAAACAGAGTGCCTAAGGGGGCGGGGAGCTCTGGGAGATGCTCACGCACAGCCCCCTGCCCCCCCACCCCTCCCCCACCAATGCAGCAGCATCCGGTTTCTGGCTAATACTGCAGGATATGAGGAGGGTAGGAGCTGGAGCCACAGTTTTTCCTGGGTGGGTGCCAAGGTTTAGAAGGAGGAGGTGGACAGGGAGAGGCCCCTAGGGCTGGGCACTTAAAGGGGAGCTGTGAGGGTGGCAGGGCAGGCTGGTGAGGGGCCAGCTGGCATCCAGCGTGAGAGGTAGATGGAACTCAGCGGGCACGAGTGGCAGAAAGCAGAGGATGTACTAGGGTTGGGGGGTGCCAAAGGGGCACAGAGGGCGGGGCTCGGCAAGGGGGTGGCCAGGACCCTGTTGTGTTAACTCACAGCTCTGATCGGCAGCCCTACCCTTGGGGCTCTGGTGTGGGGCATTTCTGTCTGATGTGGGGGGAGGAGGGGCAGCTCTCAAAGTGCATGGGGTGGTAAGGGGGGGGTCCCTCCCCTCTGGTCAGCCTCAATTAATAACTTAATATCATCTCTCTCTATCGCTCGCTCTCTCTTTTCTGTATATTTCTGCCTAGTTTTCTTCATTTGTCTTTTCCCCTTGCTTGGTTTTCAAAGTGCAGTTAGAATAACTATAAATTTTAACCTCCGGGGGAGGAGCCAAGCTAAGCCGGTCTTTGTACCCAGGCACCTGGGGAAGTAGGGTGGCCCTCAGCCTGGAGGGGAGACCTAGGCCAAGGAACTGGGTGGGGGCTCGCTCTTGTGTGTGTGTGTGCAGGGGGTGAGTTGAGGGCATCTTCCCCCAGGCCACTTCCTCCTTCCCCTACGGTCAAGATGGCTTGTCCCACCTCAGCCCCCCTGCGCTTCCCCTACCTTCTGAGAGGACGGGGTCCTGGGAACTGCAGGATGCGGTCCCCAGCCTCCCACACTGTCCTTTCCATAGCAAGTTCATTTGTTTGCCCTGTCCCAGGGCTGGAGGTCTGAGGAGGGACCTGGGCAGTGCGGGTGTGTGTGTGGGAGCTGAATCTATCCAAGGACGAGAGGAAGGAGAGAAGAGGTGTGTGGGGGGGGTCTCCCTCAGCCCCCAGCTCTGCCCCTTCTCTCCAGGCTCCTCCCCACCAGCTCCGCACACCCTCTGGCCGCCTGAGGCTTTAGACTTCCTGATCCTCAAAGACCTCGAGGAAGAGTGGGGGGAAGAGTTCGGTGGGGCACTCGACTTTCATGTGGAGGAAGCGGCTGGCGTGGCAGGCCCCAATCATGCGGAGGTCAGTCACCTTCATCAGCAGCTTGGGCCAGAAGTGCGGAATGTTGTGTTTGCGGTGGTTGACGTAGTGCTCGAATGCCAGCAGGTACGCCTCCTGACTCTTCTCGATCTTGTCCACACACAGCAGGCCCGAGCGGTCTGTGGGGAAAGAGGGGTGTGAGGGGCGAGGGGCTGGCCCAGGGCCTGGAGATGGGGAGGGCGAGGTGTAGGGGGGCGGGAAGAAAGGACTAGAGGGGAGACAGAGGCAGAGAGACTGGGGGAGGTGAGGGGAGAAGCTCACGAAGGGACGTGGGCAGGAAAAGCATAGGGCGGAGGTGGCTGGGGAGTGGAGAGGGGTAGGGGGGCTAGGTAGATGGGGTAACATGACAACAGAGGGCCTGGGGCTGGGGCAGAGAGGACTGGGGTTGGTGGTCAGAGAGGTGGGGTGTGGAGGGGGTAGGGAGGGGACTCCAGATGGGTTTGGGAGACAGAGGAGGGATGGGGGATGGAAGATGGCAGAAAACAAAGCAGGGAGTGTGGAACCAAGGGAAATGTGAGTGACAGAGGACAGAGGCAGAGAGAAGGATGGAGGCAAAGGCAGGAAAAGGCACAGAGCAGGGATGGGGAGGCAAAGGACCAGCCTGGGAAACGAGTGAGGAGTGGGTGACAGAGCAAGGGATAGGGGACAGGGGATGGTTTGGGTGACAGAGATTTAGCCTGGAAGAAGATTCAGGAGGGAGTTGAGTACCAGGTGGGGCTCCAGCCAATCTCTGGGACCCCTGGAAGCTTCTGAGCCCTCCCGGCCAATCAGCAGGTACCTGTTGACATTAGCAGCACAGCCTGCAGCAGAGCCACTTCCGTGTCATCCAGGTTAAAGGCAGAGAGTGACTTGCCCAGTTCAAAGATGGCGTCGGAGACTACGCCCAGGCCACCATTCTTGAGCTGCTCCCGCTTGACGGCCATCTCCCCACTCAGCGTCAGTGTGTCGCTCTCAGGGTCATAGCGGACAGCTGCCCGCAGGGACATGATCTCCATGCAGCACCCCTTCAGGAGGATGATCTGGTCTTCGCAAGGCAGCTGTGGAGCAGCAGGGCCACAGGAGCACTCAGCACACCCCTCCCCGCGTCCCTGAGTCTCCATGGAGTGTCCTCCAGGGGCCGTGAGGCTGGTGAGGCCCATATCGACCTCAGCCAATAGCATGGACTCTGAACAGCTGACCCTGTGTTAGGCCACGTGCATGCACTATTTCATTTAAGCCTCACAATTATATGTGTGAGGCCGGGTGCAGTGGCTCGCATTTGTAATCCCAGCACTTTGGAAGGCCAAGGCAGGCAAATAACTTGAGGTCAGGAGTTTGAGACTAGCCTGGCCAGCATACATGGTAAAACCCTATCTCTACTAAAAATACAAAATTAGTCAGGTGTGGTAGCATACACCTGTAGTCACAGCTACTCAGGAGGCTAAGGCAGGAGAATCACCTGAACCCAGGAGGTGGAGGTTGCAGTGAGCCAAGATAGCGTCACTGCATTCCAGCCTGGGCAACAGAACCAGATTCCATTTCAAAAAAGAAAAAATAAATAAATTATGCCTGTGAGTTAGCACCCATCATCACGCCCAGCCCACACTAGATGGGAACACTGAGGCGCAGGGGATGGAGGTAACTTGTCCCAGGTCACAGGGCTGGTAGGGCAGCCCGTTTCCAGCACTAGTGCTCTGGAAAATGAGAACTTTCAGATTGCCTGGAGCTGGGTGGCCGCATAGATTTGAGGGATGAGGGGCTGCAGAGAGGGGCACTTGCAGCCAGCTGGTTTCTTAGAGCAGCTAGACCTTGGTGTGTGTCTCTGTGTGTGTTGTGTGTATGGGAGTGCTGGGAGGGTGTGTGTCTATGTATTTGTGTATGTGTCTGTGTGCTAGGTGTGTGTCTCCACGTGTGTGCCTGTGTGCTGTGTGTGAATGTGTGTGTGTGTGGCTGTGTATGTATCTGTGTGTCTGCGCTGAGTGTGTGTCTGTGTGTCAGTGTGCTAGGTGTGTGTCTGTGTGCTAGGTGTGTATCTGTGTATGCATCTGTGTGTGTGCCTGTGTGCTGTGTGTTTGTGTCTGTGTGTGTCTGTGTCTGTGCTAGGGGTGTGTGTATGTGTCTGTGTGCTGGGTGTATGTATCTGTGTGTGTGTATGCTGGGTGTGTCTGTGTGTGTGCCTGTGTGCTGGGTATGTGTCTATGTGTGTATGTGTTTGTGCATGTGTCTGTGCTAGGTGTGTGTGTGTGTGTATGTCTGTGTATGCATTTGTGTGCTAGGTGTGTGTGTGTCTATGTTGTGTCTGTGTGCTGCGTGTGTGTGTATCTGTGTGTGTGTGTGTGTGTGTGTGTGTATGTATCTGTACGTGTGCCTGTGTGCTGGGTATGTGTTGATGTACAGGAATTGCTCCTTGTCCAGAGAACCTCAGATGAGCTTGTACTGGGTGACCAGGGGAGCAGGTTTCCCTCCAGCACACGATGTCTCTCCTCCCTGCTGCCACTCACCTCGGAGAACATGGGCAGTTTTTTGGCAAAGTCCACCACACGGGTGATGGCTGGGGTGATGATCTTGGTAAACTCGCTGAAGGCTTCCAGGTCCACCTTGTCTCCATCCGGCATGGAGACAATGGGTGACTGGCCAATGTCCTCAGGCTAGAGAGAAAGACAGGGGTCAGCTGGGGCCGCAGCCCCCTTTCAGCCGCTAACTGAGGCCCCCCTGCCCACCAGGGGGAGCTCCAAGGCAGCTTGGGGAAGAGGGGCCATCAGTGCCTGAGTCCCAGCCCCAAAGCTTTTTCCTTCACCTAGAGCAGAGCCAGAGCTCCAAGTCAGCTGATAATACCAATGGCAATAACAGTAGTAGCAGCTACAATGGCTGAATACTTAATATGTGATCAGGCATCAGGCTGCATGCTTTATATGCCTTATCTCATTTCATCCTGACCGCAATCCTAAAAGGAATAATTATGATAATCACCATTTCACAGATGTGGAAACTGTGCATGGGGCAGCTAAGTAATAAGGCGAAAGTCCTATGACTAGCAGGTGGTAGGACCAGGGTTTGAACTCAGGCAGTCTGACTCCTGACTGCCACGTTGCTTGGAATCAGTGCACCCTTAACAGTTCACTGTGCCACCCCTGACATGCTCCACCAGGAACCAGGAGCCAGGACCCAGGTTTCTGCCTTCCTTCACCATACAGAGCCAACTGTCCATCTCCTGCCAAACTGACCATTTCTTTTTGAGACAGGGTATTGCTCGGTTTTCTGGGCTGGAGTGTAGTGGTATGATGATGGCTTACTGCAGCCTTGACCTCCCGTGCTTAGTGGATCCTCCTGCCTCAGCCTCCTGAGTAGCTGGGACTACAGGCATGTACCACCACACCCAGCTAATTTAAAAATTATTCGCCTTTTGGCCGGAACCGCCATCTTCCAGTAATTCGCCAAAATGACGAACACAAAGGGAAAGAGGAGAGGCACTCGATACATGTTCTCTAGGCCTTTTCGAAAACATGGAGTTGTTCCTTTGGCCACATATATGCGAATCTATAAGAAAGGTGATATTGTAGACATCAAGGGAATGGGTACTGTTCAAAAAGGAATGCCCCACAAATGTTATCATGGCAAAACTGGAAGAGTCTACGATGTTACCCAGCATGCTGTTGGCATTGTTGTAAACAAACAAGTTAAGGGCAAGATTCTTGCCAAGAGAATTAATGTGCGTATTGAGCACATCAAGCACTCTAAGAGCCGAGATAGCTTCCTAAAACATGTGAAGGAAAATGATCAGAAAAAGAAGGAAGCCAAAGAGAAAGGTACCTGGGTCCAACTGAAGCGACAGCCTGCTCCACCCAGAGAAGCACACTTTGTGAGAACCAATGGGAAGGAGCCTGAGCTGCTGGAACCTATTCCCTATGAATTCATGGCATAATAGGTGTTAAAAAAAAATAAAAGACTTCTGGACTGTATATAAAAAAAAAATTATTCATAGAGGCCAAGCATGGTGGCTCACACCTGTAATCCCAGCACTTTGGGAGGCTGAGGTGGGTGGATCACTTGAGGTAAGGAGTTCAAGACCACCTTGGCCAACATGGTGAAACCCCTGTCTCTACTAAAAATATAAAAATTAGCCAGGCATGGTGACGGACACCTGTGATCTCAGCTACTTGAGAGACAGGTGGGAGAATTGCTTGAACCCGGGAGGCGGAGGTTACAGTGAGCCGAGATCATGCCACTGCACTCTAGCCTGGGCAATAGAGTGAGATTCTTTATTGAGAAAAAAAATTACTTGTACAGGTGGGTTCTCCGTATGTTGCCCAGACTGGTCTTGAACTCCTGGGCTCAAGCGATCCTCCCACCTTGGTCTCACAAATTGCTGGGATTATAGCCATAAGCCACTGCATCTGGTCCTGACTAATCATTTACTTAGCATCTAACTTTACCAGGGCCTAACACAATGCCTGGCACCCAGCAGGTGCTCAAAAATACTGTGACATGACTGTATCCTTACCCTTTCCTCCCAGTCATTATGGACAGAAAAAAGAAGAGAGGTCACCCCTGCTCCCTGGAAATTCGATGAGGAAGGTAAGGCCCTGTCCTCATGGAGCTCCCGATTGGTTGGAGTAGGCAGGGTCCAGACAGCAAGGACACAAACACAAGTGTATAAAATTTGGACAGCAAAGGTGTGAAGAGGATAAATTTTGAGTTGGATTACACTAAGAAGACTTCCTGGAGGTGGCAAGACTCTGAGCTCACTCTCCTCTCCCTGCCACCTGGCTGCTGCTCTCCACATGCCCCCTTTCTCCTTACCAAGAATTTCCGCTTCTGCTTCCAATGGCTGCCCTGGGCATTGGTGCTGCGATGGGCCTCTGTGGCGACGTGGATCAGATCCCACTCTTCAGGAGTGGGCTCTGGTCGCTGCTGCAATGATCGGATCATCTCCTCCTTCCGCCGCCGCTCCCGGTTCTGCTCAATCAGCTTACGCTTGGCCACCCGCTTTGAGTCATCTAGAACCACTGTGAACAGAGAGGTACACAGTCCTATGCATGGCACCCTCCATACCCTCTCCATAATGCTCCCAGAATCTACTCTTCTTAGAGTACAGGTTGGGGAAACTGAGAGCCTTGGAGGCTAAGTGACTTCCCAAATCACCTAGCAATTGGGCGGCATGAATCATGATTAACCCCCGGGACCATGTCAACAGCAGTTTGGGCTGATCCAGATGAATATCATGTTCTGGTCTAACAGGTTATGGTGATGGTGGTTACCACAAGATCCTGCCACCCAATCCCCAGCCAATGGAAGATGCCCTGTCTCATCTAGAAGTAGGATGCCTTCCCTGGGAGTCAAGAGCAATGTGCTACGGTGGGTGCCCAGGAGCTCCTCCTACCAAGCGAGTTCCTCTCTTAAGGCCCTCAAGTGTTATAAGGCAGGTAGGCACTGCAGCCCACACAGGGATCCTGTTGCCTTTTCTGCAGGAAAGAGGGCAGCAGAGACCAAGACACTTAAACATTCTGCCCTCAGCCTGACCTGGACTGGACTGCCACTCTGCCCTGTGGGCCCTGAGGTACCCTGGAAGGGAGCTGCCCTCCCGGAACTCATCCTCAGCCCAGGCCACCTGGCTCTATTTGCGCCACCCGGGCCCCTTACAGTCCATGGCCATGCCCACGGCGATGCACTTCTTGAAGCGGCACAGCTGGCACTGATTGCGGGTGATCTTGTCAATGACACAGCAGCTGTCATATTTGCAGGAATAGGTGGGATGGAGGTTCTTCTGGATTGTGCGGCGAAAGAAGCCCTGGGGTGGGGGGAGATGGAGCAGGCTGTGATCATGACATGACTTCCCCTTCCTGAACCAACCATGAAGTTTACTGGGGGTCAGGGGTGGAGAGCAAGGAAGGCAAGATCAGTGAAGGGACCTGACATCCTCTTGATAACATGAGTCCAGGATTATTGGGCTTGAGGACCTGAGAAATACATGCCCTCAGCCCCCAGGCTGCTGAGGGGTTGGGGGTGTCTGCGTAGTAGTGGTGGCAGAGGTAGGAATGATGACCACAGCAGGCAGCTTTGAACCTGGGATAATATGAGGTGTTATGGGTCCTTAAGGAATAGCAGCTTTGGAAATCCAAGGAAAACCTAATTTTCCATCTTGCTAAATGACTCTAAAAACAACTTATCTTTACTAAGTGACTGACATTGACCAAAAACTGGCCCTAAAACAATTCTCCTATATGTTGCCTGTTGCCCATGCAGGTGGAATTCATAAAACAGGGGGACCAAAAAAGTCGAGGAAAAGGTACTGAGTATGAACTCTAGCAGGGGAAGAGAAAAATTTCAATTCTACATATTGGGATTCACCTTAATTATTTTAGACAGACATAATTTTATTATTTTCGTTCTTGTTGCCCAGGCTGGAGTGCAATGGCGTGATCTCGGCTCACCACAACCTCTGCCTCCGGGGTTCAAGCGATTCTCCTGCCTCAGCCTCCCTAGTAGCTGGGATTACAGGCATGCATCACCACACCCAGCTAATTTTGCATTTTTAGTAGAGACGGGGTTTTTCTTTTTCTTTTTTTTTTCTTTTTCTTTCTTCTTTTTCTGAGACAGGGTATTTCTACGTTGGTCAGGCTGGTCTTGAACTCCCGACCCTGGTGATCTGCCTGCCTCAGCCTCCTAAAGTGCTGGGATTATAGGCATGTGCCACCACGTCCAGCTAATTTTGTATTTTTAGTACAACGGGGTTTTTCCATGTTGGTCAAGCTGGTCTTGAACTCCCGACCCCAGGTGGTCTGCCCGCCTCAGCCTCCTAAGGTGCTGGGATTACAGGCATGAACCACTGCACCCAGCCAGGATTCACCTTTATATTAAAGGAAAAACCTCAAAAATCAAGATGATTGCAATAATATGAAGAGTTAATATTTGTTCATATTTATGTCAGTCACTTAGTAAAGATAAGCCTTGCCTGATGGGCGCAATGACTCACACCTATAATCCTAGCACTTTGGGAGGTTGAGGCAGGCAGATCACTTGAGGCCAGGAGTTCAAGATTGAGATGGGCCTGTCCAACATGGTGAAATTCCATCTCTACTAAAAATACAAAAATTGGCCAAGCATGGTGGTGTGTGCCTATAGTCCCAGCTACTCTGGATGCTGAGGTGGGAGGATTGCTTGAGCCCAGGATGTCAAGGCTGCAGTGAGCTATGATCGCACCACTGCACTCCAGCCTGGGTGATAGAGACCTCATTTTAAAAAAATAACAGAAACAAAAACCCAAAAGATAAGCCTTGTCTTTCATGGAACACCACAATGAACCCTCAGGACAATCCTATGAGGTAGGAATTGTTACCGCCTCCACTTTGCAGACTAGCAAATTGCTTGGTGAGACGAAGCAATTTGCCCAAAGTCATGTGGCCAGTGGGCAGCAGGGTCAGAACTGGGCCTCAGGTATGGGACACCAAGGTCCAAGCTCTCAGATTCCAGAGGCTATTAAAATCAGCAAAGGTGGCCAGGTGCGGTGGCTAACATCTGTAATCCCGGCACTTTGGGAGGCTGAGGCGGGTGGATCACGAGGTCAGGAGTTCGATACCAGCCTGGCCAACATGATGACACCCTGTCTCTACTAAAAATACAAAAATTAACTGGGTGTGGTAGTGGGTGCCTGTAATCCCTGCTACTTGGAAGGCTGAGTCTCTGTCTCCTGGGAGAATTGCTTGAACCCAGGAGGCAGAAGTTGCAGTGAGCCCAGATCATGCCACAGGACTCCAGCCTGGGTAATAGAACAAATTTTTTTTTTTTTTTTTTTTTTTTTGAGACAGAGTCTCACTCTGTCACCAGGTGCCAGGCTGGAGTGCAGTGGTGTGATCTCGGCTCACTACAACCTCCGCCTCCCAGTTCAAGCAATTCTCCTGCCTCAGCCTCCTAAGCAGCGGGGATTACAGGTGCTTGCCACCACACCCAGCTAATTTTTTGTATTTTTAGTAGAGACGGGGTTTCACCATGTTGGCCAGGACGGTCTTGATCTCTTGACCTCATGATCTGCCCGCCTCAGCCTCCAAAAGTGCTGGGATTACAGGCTTGAGCCACCATGCCTGGCCAAGATTTTATATTTAAAAAAAAAATCGCCAAAGGCACCTACCAAAGATACAGATTCCTGGGCCTCACTCTAGAACTACAAAATCCAGCTATCCAGGGGTGGGGCCAAGGCATCTCTGTCTTTTCAGGGTGCTTCCCTGGGACTCAGACGTTCATGACGGTAAAAGATCCTTGCTCCATGCTACACTGTATTGCTTCCAGAAGGATTGTATTCCTTCTGCTAGGGAACTCTAAACCCCTTGTGGTCTCGGTTTGGCTGACACCAAGAAAGAAACTTCAAGCCTTAACTTGTTTTTAATTTTCTTAAAACCCCACCCACAGTCCCCCAACTTTTTTTTTCTAAGACAGGGTCTTGCTCTGTCGCCCAGGCTGGAGTACAGTGGCATAATCACAGCTCACAGCAGCTTCAACCTCCCAGCCTCAAGTGATCCTTCTTCCTCAGCTGCCTGAGTAGCTGGGACCACAGGTGTGCACCACCATGCCTGGCTACTTTTTAAATTTTTTTGTAGGAACAGGATCTCATTATGTTGCCGAGGCTGCTCTTAAACTCCTGGGCTCAAGCAATCCTCCCACCTTGGCCTCCTAAAGCGCTGGGATTATAGGCATGAGCCACCATCCTGGGCCTTTAATATATAAATAATTGTTTCTTTTTTCCTTTTTTAGACAGAGTCTCACTCTGTCGCCGAGGCTGGAGTGCAGTGACATGATCTTGGCTCTCACTGCAACCTCTGTCTCTCAGGTTCAAGAGATTCTCCTGCCTCAGCCTTCCAAGTAGCTGGGATTACATGTGTGCATCACCACACCCAGCAATTTTTTTTTAAAGATGTAGTCCCATTCTGTTCCCCAGGCTGGGGTGCAATGGGGCAATCTCAGCTTACTGCAACCTCCGACTCCTGGGTTTAAGCAATTCTCTTGCCTCGGCCTCCCGGGTAGCTGGGATTACAGGTGACCGCCACAATGCCCAGATAATTAAAAAAATTTTTTTAGCAGAGACGGGTTTCTCCATGTTGGCCAGGCTGGTCTCAAACTCCTGACCTCAGGTGATCCACTTATCTCAGCCTCCCAAAGTGCTGGGATTACAGGCATGAGCCATCATTCCCGGCCACAGTCGGCTAATTTTTGTATTTTTAGTAGAGACAGGGTTTTACCATGTTGGCCAGGCTGGTCTCCAATTCCTGACCTCACTCATTCATTCATTTGCTCATTCATAATCCCTCCTCTGCCACTCACAGGAAAATTGCCTAACTTCTCTGGGCCTCAGTTTCTTCATCTATAAAATGGGATAATCACCAGGCACGGTGGCTCATGCCTGTAATCCTACCACTTTCGGAGGCCAAGGTGGGTGGATCACCTGAGGTTGGGAGTTTGAGACCAGCCTGACCAACATGGAGAAACCCCATCTCTATTAAAAATACAAAGTTAGCCAGGCATGGTGGCACATGCCTATAATCCCAGCTACTCATGAGGCTGAGGCAGGAGAATCACTTGAATGTGGGAGGTGGAGGTTGTGGTGAGCGGAGATCGTGCCATTGCACTCCAGCCTGGGCAACAAGAGGGAAACTCCATCTCAAAATAAATAAATAAAATAAAATAAAATGAGGATAATCATTCTATCTACCTTACAGGATTGCTGAGAGAATTAAATGAGATAATTCACTTGAAGTGTTTAAAACAGTGCTGTGGGGTGCAGTAACCTCAGGTGATCTGCCTGCCTCAGACTCCCAAAGTATCGGAATTTAAATAATTCTGTTCCTTGGAAGGCCTTGCATTTTTAGGAGGTGATCCTGGAAACGCTATCCAGGCTGAAATGATCAAGGTGACATCTAATCAGGTCTCCCAAACACTTTGGCAGGCAAACGCAGGAAGATCACCTGAGATCAGGAGTGCGAGACCAGCCTGGCCAACATAGTGAAACCCCATCTCTACTAAAATTATAAATATTAGCAAGGCTTGGTGGTGCATGCCTGTAATTCCAGCTACTTGGTAGGCTGAGGCAGGGAGAATTGCTTGAACCCAGCAGGCAGAGGTTGCAGTGAGTCAAGATCATGCCATTGTACCCCAACCTGGGCAACACAGCAAGACTCTCTCAAAAATAACGACAAACAACAATTAGGCCTCCCAAAGTCTATGACCTTGTCCCCTTTGACAGGAAGAACCTGCTGTCCTCTTCTTCTCTGTGCTCCCACTATGCCCCCATCACTGGCTCTCACTCTTTTAGGTGCATTGGAAACACCCCAGGATTCTGTTAAAAGGAAAGTTCCTGGACTCCACCACAAAAGGGTTCTGAGTGAGTAAGAGTAAGATGAAGCCTGGGAATCTGCATTTTAACTAGTACTGCAGGTGGTCCATGAACCACATTCTGAAAAACACTGATGGGCCAGGTGCAGTGGCTCACGCCTGTATTCCCAGCACTTTAGAGGCTGAGGAGGGTAGATCATGAGGTCAGGAGTTCGAGAGCAGCCTAACATTGTGAAAACCTGTCTCTACTAAAAATACAAAAGTTAGCTGGGCATAGTGGCACACACCTATAATCCCAGCTACTCGGGAGGCTGAGGCAGGAGAATCACTTGAACCCAGGAAGTAGAGGTTGCAGTGAGCTGACACCTTGCCATTAAACTCCAGCCTGGGTGACAACTCTGTCTCACACACAAAAAAAGAAAAAAGAAAAACACTGATTTTTGTTTCAAGTCTGTCTCTCTCTGACAGGCTGTGAGCAGCTTGAGGGCAGGGTACGTACTACACTCTCACACCTAATAATATACTGAACGAATAGGCAATAGCTTGCATTTATCAAATGCTTCTATGTGCATGGCACTATTTATTTATTTGAGACTTTTTTTTTTTTTTTGAGACGGAGTTTCACTCTTGTAACCCAGGCTGGAGTGCAGTGGCGTGATCTTGGCTCACCGCAACCTCCGCCTCCCGGGTTCAAATGATTCTCCTGCCTCCGCCTCATGAATAGCCAGGACTACATGCACGCACCACCACACTCAGCTAATTTTTTTATATTTTTAGTAGAGACAGGGTTTCACCATGTTAGCCAGGATGGTCTCCATCTCTTGACCTCATGATTCTCCCACTTTGGCCTCCCAAAGTACTGGGATTACAAGTGTGAGCCACCACACCCAGTCTGTTTTATTTACTTATTTATTTATTGAGATGGAGTTTCACTCTTGTTGCCCAGATTGGAGTGCAATGGTACAATCTCAGTTTACTGCAACCTCCATCTCCTGGGTTCAAGCAATTCTCCTGCTTCACCCTCCCGAGTATCTGGGAATACAGGCATGCACCACTACGCCCAGCTAATTTTGTATTTTTAGTAGAGATGGGGTTTTTCCATGTTGGTCAGGCTGGTCTCAAACTCCCGACCTCTGGTGATCCACCCGCCTCGGCCTCCTAAAGTGCTGGGATTACAGGTGTGAGCTGCCGCACACAGCAATAGGGAGAGTTATCTTTTATGTTTTCTTTTATTTTGAGACAGAGTCTTGCTCTGTCACCTAGACTGGAGTGCAGTAGCACCATCACAATTCACTGCAGCCTTAACTTTTTGGGTTCAAGCAATCCTCCCACCTCAGCCTCTTGAGTAGCTGGGACTATAGGCATGCACCACCACACCTAGCTAATTTCTTTAATTTTTATTTTGTAAAGACAGGGTCTTGCTATGTTGCCCAGGCTGGTCTCAAACTCCTGGGATCAAGGGATGCTCCCACCTTGACCTTCCTCCCAAAGGACTGGGATTTTTAGGCGTGAGCCACGGCATCCAGTGTTACTGTTTTAAACACTTCAAGTGAATTATCCCATTTAATTTTCCCAACAATGCTAGAAGGTAGATGGAATGATTATCCTTATTTTATAGATGAAGAAACTGAGGCTAAGAAAAGCTAGGCAATTTTCTTGTGAGTGGCAGAGGAGGGATTATGAATGAATGAGTAGCAGAAGAGAAAGTGGCCAGGCGCAGTGGCTCACTCCTATAATCCCAGCACTTTGGGAGGCCAAGGCAGGTGGATCACCTGAGGTCAAGAGTTCAAGACCAACCTGGCCAACATGGTGAAACCCCGTCTCTACTAAAAATCCAAAAAAATTAGCTGGGTCTGGTGGCACATGCCTGTAATCCCAGCTACTTGGGAGGCCGAGGTAGGGGAATTGTTTGAACCCGGTAGGTGGAGGTGGCAGTGAGCTGAGATCATGCTACTGCACTTCAGCCTGGGTGACAAGAGTGAAATTCCATCTCAAAAAAAAAAAAAAAAAAAAAAAAAGAAGTGATGACCTAACAGGTGGGCTTTAGGTGACATATTGACATATTTATAGATTTTGTCTGTCGTGCCAGGTTCTGAGAGACTTAAAGGGAGTAAGATGGGGCTCAGGTGGCAGGGGAGGGGCAGGAGGTGGCTTCCATACCTTGCAGCCCTCACAAGTGATACAGCGGTAGTGATAACCAGTTGCCTTGTCCCCACACACGACACACTGCTCGTCTTTGTCCAGGTAACTAGGGATATACCCTGGGAGGAAGGAAAGGATGGAGGAAGGCAGGCATGGCTTGCAGTCCCAGCACAGAGGCCCTCACACTTTTCCCCTTCCCTCAACTTTTTGTTTTTGGCCCCTCTCCTAGACCAGCCTCCCTGGTAGAATCCTAGAGAGACACTGGGGGTGAACTTGCCCATCCTCTGCCCTAAGAGTATGAAGAATCTCAGGTCTTCTGATTGCCCATTCAGGGCTTTCTTCTTGCTCTATCTACAAGGCAGAGGATGGTGGGGAGGGAAAAATAAGTGTCAGCAGCTCACTGGGGAGGGGAAAGCCCCTCAGTCCTTCAGCTCAAATCCTGATTCCAGTGGGGCCTCAGATGAGGGTGTTAGGGAAGGAGGGAAGAGGCCTTCATGATCTAATACACCCTCAAAAGCAGGGTACATCCCCCATCACCTTTCTCACCCCAGACAAGGCCATCCCAAGCCCTCTAGGAGGCTCCCCGCAGGGAACACAGGAGCTGCTGGGACACGTCCAGGTCCGGAGGAGGCCTGGCCAGGTTTGGTGGGGTCGGGTGTGGAGAAGGGGCACGCATGGCCAGCCTCACCTGACATGCTGGTTTTCAGGGAACATTGGCCGTTCTTTCTTTTTCTCTTTCCATCTGGTGACCTGGCACTGGATGGGGGTAAAGTGGATAGAATCACAGAGCAGTCTTTGGGCAACCCCCTTCTCCTCCGAGAGGCTTATACAATCCCCCCAGGCCTGATTCTTTCCATTTTGTGTCCTCATTCTACCTCCCTCGACCCCCCTGGGTCAGCTGACAATGCTTAAAAGGGTCCAGCTATCTGGAAGCTGCAGGAGAGAAAGATAAGGGGCTTGGCTGCAGCACAAACCTGCTCTAGAGCCCCAACACACACACGTTCACCCGCCAGAAGACCCGAAGCACACCTGAAGCTCCCATCATCCACGGGACATCCTCATCTTGTAGTACATGATAAATACGCTGGAAGAATTCTCAGGATATGCTTAGAGCTACGTAACCTATAGAACACACACATACATATGCAACATAACACTGGCGCGGATGAATAACCATGCAGCCTTCGCCATAAACCCAAGTATAGTAAGTATGCGCCAGGGCTGACATATCTGTGTAATTTCCGGGGCATTGTTTTTTTTTTTTTTTTTTTTAATTGAGATGGAGTTTCGCTCTTGCTACCCAGGCTGGAGTGCAATGGTGCAATCTCGGCTCACCGCAACCTCCGCCTCCTGGGTTCAGGCAATTCTCCTGCCTCAGCCTCCTGAGTAGCTGGGACTACAGGCATGTGCCGCCACGCCCAGCTAATTTTTTGTATTTTTAGTAGAGACGGGGTTTCACCACGTTGACCAGGATGGTCTTGATCTCTTGACCTCGTGATCCACCCACCTCGGCCTCCCAAAGTGCTGGGATTACAGGCGTGAGCCACCGCGCCCGGCCTCCAGGGCATTCTTAATGTGCTATACGACCTCCAGGATATGCCCATGTGTTACGCAGCCCTCTGCACAGGCACCTCATGAACTCACCCCCATCCCTCCCGTGTGCAGGTGTTGCTTGAGTTCCACGTCATACACACATGCTAAGTAACCCACAGCAATGGAAAACACTAGAGCCACCCTCTGCACAGCCTACATTTAACAGAGCAGCAAGCTGAGGCCCCACTTGTGCCTGGTGACACCATGAGCTGGAGTCAGCCATGCCTGAGCCCCTCTGTGCAAAGTATTATCAGCAACCCTCAGCCACTGCACATATATGTTGCCAGCTCTCCACACAAACGTTACATAACCTCGGCGCACACAGGTTATGTAAGCTGTCTACATGCATGCAAGGATTGCATAACCTCCGCACCCACCCTGCCTGTGGCATGTTGCAGGCCCCTTCCTCCTGGAGCCGGATACAGCTCCCAACACACTGACACAGTGACCTTGGCCAGGGTCACAGTCACAGACAGCCCTGTGCTCCACGCCCCCTGGGGATTACTCCTGTCTAGTTCCTACGAGGCTGAAAGGTCAGGTCTCCCTCCCGTCTTCCAGAGGGTTGGCTGCAGGGGAACTCAGGCCACCTAGGCCCCAGTGGAGCTGGTGTCTTCAGCAGTTACCACCAGACTCACAGCCTCTGAGTGCAGTCCTAGAGATAGCCACAAGGTGGCGCATAGACATGGGGGAGGGGAGGGTGATGGGGGAGGGGCTGCAGTCTTAGGGGACTAGGGACTGGCATTCCTGCCTTTCTCCAAGCCTTAGGAGCAGACTTTTCCAGACCCACGGAAGCCTAAGCTGGGAGATACAGGGGCTGCAAGTGACAGCCCCACAGCAACAGGCCAGATTGTCCTCAGAGTCCTTCCCGGGATAAGGCTTTGGGGCAGGGGGGCTACCCCATGCCTTGCCCAGCTGTGAGCTCCATCTGCTTCCTCTACCCTCCAGGGACACAGTTGTGGGCCTTAGGGCTTTGCCTGGCCAGGCCTTTGGCTTCCTGGCTCGGGATCTGATCTCCTAGGCAACAGCCAGCCACACTGCTCCCCGGAGCACCCCTACACCCACCCTCTCCCTGGCCATAGGCACAGGCTGTACCCAGCTCCCGGGGCACCGTGCCAACTGGGACAGAGTTCTGTGCCACTTGGAGCTGATGGAGAAGGCAGAGACCCTCTGGGCTCCTCAAGGGCAATGCAGATCATAGGTAACCAGTCCTAGATGTATGCACAGGGCTGACACTTCACCCACGTGGAAGCAAAACCGTCATGGTTGGCATGCACTTCCACTTTCTGGGAGGAGCCCCAATGCAGTGCCCGCCCTTGATCATGAACAAGGAAGAGCTTGTGGGGCTCCCAATAGATTCCAAATATAAGTGTGGGCTGTGACCAATAGTTGTTGGTGCATGTGCCCTGAAATATCATAGTACGTGAACCACAGCTTGCGGACAACACACTTGTGGTCAGATGGTAAACGGGCTGGTAGGGAGAGGAAGAAAATGGCAAGGTTGTTTGGATCCCATAGGCTCAAGGTGAGGGAAGCAATGGTGGAGGAGACATTGGGGGCATCTGAGACTACCCAGCTGTCTAGGGAGGGGCCCCTTACGTGCTCCCTGTAATTACTCTGCTCCGTATCACTCCTGCTTCAAAATGGGCATCTCTCAATCCAAGTGCCTAATTCCCTGTCACATCTGAATATGACCTCATCTGCCAGACAGAGGTAGGCGGAAGGCTTGCTGGCCTCACGTCCATCCTGCAGAGGTGCTTAAAGGTGGTGCCTAAAGGAGACCTCAGCCAGGTGCCCATGCCTGCTGCTTAGGAGTCAGCACAACTTAGTTGCTGAACCCATTACCTGTTCTCCTCTGGGTCTGACCCACACTCCACCTTGCTTGGCTTCTGTTCCATTCACTTCAATTCCATCCAGGATGCCCTCCAGCACGCCAAGAGACTGGGGTGGGCACACTGGCCCCCCAGGCACAAACACAGGCCACCCACCCCCTGCCACCCAGGCCCTAGGGCACAGCACCCATGATACCCGCCTCAGCACTTGGCCTTTCACACCATGCCCTGTGCCCCAAGGTGGGGGGCGGGCGGTGAGAGGGGCCAGGGAGTGGCAGGTGGGAGGGTTGGGGGCAAGCTGGGTATGTGGGTCCCGGGATGTGGGCTCGGGGAGTAGCTTTGGAGTCTTGTCCTGTTCGGAGATCCCTGTGGAGAGAAGAGAGAGGCAGGGGTAAGAAGGTGTCACAGTGGGAGGGTGGGTAGGATCCCTTTGGTTGCAACATTGGAGGTTCTGGGGGCCCACGACAAGACAGCAATGGGCAGGAAGGGCAGCCACAGAGAGGGGACCGGTAAAACTCCTTGGATCACAGGTACAGCAGGAGAGATTGGAGATCCACCTTCTAAGCCCCAGACATAGGAAGAAATGGAGAGAATAAGATCATTCATGTACTAGGTAACATGTCTCAATCTTCATATTTAGACAAATGCCTGGCCCTTAATGAGCAGCTTTTTTTTTTTTTTTGAGACGGAGTTTCGATTGTTACCCAGGCTGGAGTGCAATGGCGCAATCTCGGCTCACCGCAACCTCCACCTCCTGGGTTCAGGCAATTCTCCTGCCTAAGCCTCCTGAGTAGCTTGGATTACAGGCACGTGCCATCGTGCCCAGCTAATTTTTTGTATTTTTTGTAGAGACGGGGTTTCACCATGTCCAGCATGGTCTCGATCGCTTGACCTCATGATCTACCCACCTCGGCCTCCCAAAGTGCTGGGATTACAGGTGTGACTTTTTTTTTTTTTTAGACAGAGTCTTGCTCTGTCATTCAGGCTGGGGTAAGAGTGCAGTGGTGTGATCTCAGCTCACTGCAACCTCTGCCTCCCAGTTCAAGCAATTCTCCTGCCTCAGCCTCTGTAGCTGGGATTACAGATGCGTGCCACCACGCCCGGCTAATTTTTGTATATTTAGTAGAGATGGGGTTTTACCATGTTTGTCAGGCCAGTCTCGAACTTCTGACCTTGTGATCCACTAGCCTCGGCCTCCCAAAGTGCTGGGATTACAGATGTGGGTCACCACACCCGGCCAGTGAGCATCTATTAAACATTAGCTATTGTTACCACTCCTTTAGTCAAGTTTTCCCAAAATTCCTCTGTATTACAGGGTAAGAGGGGACCAGAGACAAGCAGTTTTCAGCACAGGCAGGGGGTATCTATGAAGGAAGGGTAGGGCACAGGGCGGCACACAGCGAGCGTGAATGCCCATCTTAGTGCCTTCACAGAGAGACATGTTGAAAGCCGTGGGAACTGACCTCCCATGCTGCTGGTCAAGTTATGATCCCCAACTCTGGCTCCTCAGGGACTCCAGAGCTTCCCATACAAGGTCTCAAATCCCACTTCCCAGGAGGAGGATCAGACTTCTCAGTTGGTTTAGCTGAGCTGCCATTGACCAAGATGGCAAGGAGGAAAGGAAAGGAAACTAACACATGTTAACTAGAGAGATAATATGTGCCCTCCAAAGTGGGCACAAGAACTTCACAGATGGGGAAACTGAGTCTCAGAAAGCTTGGTCATTCACTCAAGTTCACACAGCTAGTAAGCAGGTGGCTGTGGGATACACCTGACAGCCTGGCCCTAATGCTCACCTTGTTCTGCTACCTAGAGTCCAGGGCAGTGCCAAGCCAGACCCACCATTCCCACCAAACTGCACCTCTGACCTGGGTTGCAGTCCTATGGCTTACTGTCCGTGTGTACACAGGCAGGTGTGGCAGGTAGGAGGGAGACAAAGGGTACAGCTCCCTAACATATGACCTCAACCTCTGTCACATGGCTACTGCATAGGAGACCTCACCCCTCGGCCCCATGGCCCCACCCCCAGGAGCTGATAAGGAGCCAGGGTAGCAAGAGAAGGGAACGATAAGTCAAGGGACTGGGCAGGGCTGGCAGCAGGATGGGGCCTTCGCACCCAGGCAAACCGACAGTGCGGGGAGCATGGGCATTGCACAGAAAAGTGGCCTGTGCTGCCTCGGATACCCACCACAGACCAGGACTGGGCACTGGGGGCTGGACAGGAGACTGGGGTTGGGGTGTGTGAGCAGGGAGCCTTAGCCCAGGGAACCGTCAAGAAAGTAGGTCAAGTTTTTCTTGGCTTGTGGAGAAATTCCTGTTATAAATTTATAATGGCGTAGCCAGCCCTAAGGGGTGGAGGTAGGGGAGGAGAAGGGGTGGGTGGGGAAGCCCAGGGGCTGGACACTGGGGCCTGATGCTCTCAGTCAGACTGTGTGGGGCTGGGGGCAAGGGCTGCTGCGGGGGTGGGGATGGACAATAGAGGACGGTCCTCTGATTCCATGTTCATGAAAACATAGTCCTCTGATTCCATGTTCATGCAGCCTAGTGAGACTGCCTGCATCTGTCTGTCTGTGTCTGAATGTCTCTCTCTGGGTCTGGGTGTCTCTGTTCTCCGCGCCCCCCCCAGGCTGTGCCTCGGTGCTTGGCACACCCTGGCTGCGGTGCTGCCCCCGCCTGTCTCCTGCCCTCCTGGCACACTGCCACCACTTGTTTACAGAAGCTGGAAAAATCCACTCGCCAGCCGGAGGCCCAAGGGCCCCCAGGAAGGGAGGAGGCAGGAACAGGAGTGAGCATGAGAGGGGGCAGCCCCGGGGAGCAGACCCTGAGGGCAGCCGAGGAGGACCAGTGTATGCAGGCACAGGCACTGGCTGCTGTGGGCTGGGCAGGGAACACCAGCGGCAGCCACATGGCATGAGCAGCTCCTGCCTCAGGCCAGGGCTCCTGAGGGCCTCCCCCATAGGCTCCCGCCACTTACCAGTTGCTACATTGCAGACTTGGGGCAGTGCCAACCTAAGCCACCATGTTTATTTCCCCTTCCCTCTCCCCTGTCCAGCCTTAACTCCAAATGTGTCTGAGAATTGCCAACGGCCTGCACGTGCCTGCTGGGGGGAGGGGCAGGCTCGCTCTCTGCCCCACCCCTCGGTGCTGAACTGAATGGTGCCCCGGTGCTGGTCGGTACTGCCCAGGCTACAGTCAGCCCCCGGTATTGGGCAGAGGAGCAATGTGCTGTCCTAGCTGCTAGGGCACCCTCATCGGGTATCCAGCAAGAGGCTGGAACCCCTGGGGACTCCTTGACATCTCTCCAGGATGCCCCTGGGCCTCTGGGGTGATACAGAGGTGAGGCAGAGGACCCAGCACCCGAGGAGACACACACCACATGAGTCTATGCTAGCCGCGGCAGAAAAAGGTCAGTGGATAAGGGCCATGGGGGAGGGGTACCCACCCTCTCTCCCCTCCTCCAGAGTCCAGCTTAATGCCCCAAACTCCTTTCTGGCATCCCCTCGGTGGAGGTGTGGGTGGCTCTGCCCCAAGGAGGCCGAGAGGGCAGAGCTACGGGACTCTGTGCCCAAGCTGTACAGCAGGACAGCAACACCCACCTGTCGACTGGCCTGGCCACCCACTTCCTCCTGGTGAGATAAGAGCTGCCGGGTGGCAGTGTGGGCAAGGTGCCCATGGAGGGGAAGCATTTCATTAAGCTTAAGTGCTTCTGCCACGGGGGGACAGGGACACGGGGCCAATGCGGCATCCACGGGCACCAAGCCAGGTTCCCACTGCCTGGCCATCCCACTTTGCAGTCCTGTGAATCTGAGGACACCCCCAAAGGACTCCTGCGGCTGCCAGAGGGGAGTTTCTGTTCCTAGGATCTAGCCCCCAATACTATCCCAATTAACCCTCCTGCATATCTGCTCTGGGCTTTGGCCTCACCTTTCTGGGGCCCCTGAACTTTGTTCTTAGCGCTCTGAAGAAAACCCAGCCCTCCTCGCCAGCCACAGAGACACTTACACATAGGGGGGCTGAGAAAAGGATGTAAAAAGGAGGGGTGGGGAGAAGAGGGAAGGAGGGAGGAGGGGGAAGAACAAAGAGATAGGACAGGGCTGGGGTCTGGGATAGAGCTAGGGGTGACAAGGCAGAAGAGGGAGAGGAAGAAAGGGGAGCCAGAGATGGGGGATGGGGAGAAGGGGTGAGGTAGAAAGGAGGACAGATACAGGGAAGAGAGACACATGAAGGAGGAGAGACAAAGAGAAAGGTAACAAAGAAAGATGGGTGGGGGGGCTTCGTACCCTCCCTAAGTCCCACCCCATGCAGGCAGGGGGGAGAGGGGAGTAGGAATGGTTTCCACGGTGACAGCTGGTTCTTGGTGGCCTGGCATGTGGGCTATTAATAGTGCCGTGGGTAGGTTCACACCTCCCTCTCCCCTTCCCCTCTGCCTGCTGCTAGGGTGGGGGGAGATCCCTCCCCCACCACCCACTCCGGATCACCCAGCCTCCCACCATGGGAGCCAGGAAGGGCAATGCCAAGGGGCCGGGGCTGCCACTGTGGCCCAGACACACAAATGGGCATGCATGGGCACAGGCATCTGTGGGCAGCACTGCCCCCATGCCAGCATGGGCATCACAGGCAGCCACCCACACGGAAGGGCTCTGGGGGTCTGTGGTGGCAGCAGCGCTGCAGCAGTGACACTTGCCCCTGTGTTGAGGGCAGAGGCCTCTCCAGGGCCAGGACCCTCTCTCCCTTCCCACACCCCCTGTTCTATTCTCAGGTGTGGATTGAGCAGGGCTGCCCCACCCAACTCTGTTATCCTAGTGCCAGGAAGGAGAGGAGGAGTGAAGGCGGGAAGGAAGGTACTATTTGGCAGGTGTGATGTGGAGAGGAGTACACACAGACTCAGAGCACCAGCCTGGCGGGCATGGGGAGATGGGAGGAGGGGAGGCGGCACCCCTGGGTGAGCTCTCTCTCACTGGGCCCCCAGGAGACAGGTTCTGGAGCTGGGGGGCCGTGACTCATCACCTAGCCACTGTGGGGCCTTAGAGGCTAGAGAATGGGAGATGGGGTGGGGATCCTCATAAGGGGGAGACTGGTTACTTAAACAAAGGCTCCTCCCTACCCCCCCAAAAGAATATAACAGGAAACCCCCCTGCAGGTCAAAGACAGAAAGACATAAACAGCAGCCTTGACTTGGGCCAGATGCCCAGTATTAACATCAAAGAGTGTGCTTCCTACCCGGCTCCCCCATAGCCTCACCCACCTGCTGCTCTCCTCTCCCTCCTCCTCCCCAGGCCAGCTCCAGTAGGGCATCAAGGTGGGTGCCCAGGTCTGGAGGTCTCCTCCCAGGTGACATCCATCCCCCATGACCACCAGTGGGTGGT